AGAAGTGGTGAAAGAAGGTATCCCTGTCTTGTTCCAGGTTTTAGAGGGAATGCCTTCAGTTTGTCTCCATTTAGAATGATATTGCCCTGGGGCTTAGCATAGATAGCCTTTATGATGTTGAGCTGTGTTCCTGTTATCTCCAATTTTTCTAGTGTTTTGAATTTGAAGCAGTGCTGTATTTTGTTGAATGCCCTTTCTGCATCCATTGAGATGATCATATGATTCTTATCTTTAAGTCTATTGATGTGTGATGAATTAATTATATTTATTGATTTCTGTATGTTGAACCAACTTTGCATCCCTGGGATGAATCCCACTTGATTGTAGTGCATTATCTTTTTGTTTTTGGTTTGCCAGGATTTTATTGAGAAGTTTTTGCATGTATGTTCATTAGAGATATTGGTCTGAAGTTTTCTTTCTTTGATGTGTCTTTGTCCAGTTTGGGGATCAGGTGATATTGGCCTCATAGAATGAGTTTGGAAGTGCTCCCTCTTTTTCTATTTCCTAAAATAAATTGAAGAATATTGGTATTAGTTCTTCCTTAAAGGCTTATAGAAGTCGGCTGTGTATCCATCTGGTCCTAGGATTTTCTTGGTTGGTAGGGTTCTGATGGCATCTTTTATTGGTCTGTTTAAATTGTGTATATCATCCCGATTCAATCTGGGCAGATTATATGACTTAAGAAATTTGTCGATGCCTTCGATGTTTTCTATTTTATTGGAGTACAAGTTTTCAAAATAATTTCTAATTATTTTCTGTATTTTTGCAGTGTCTGTTGTGATGTTACCTTTTTCTTCATGTATGTTAGTAATTTGAGTTTTCTGTCTCCTTCTCTTCATTAGCATAGCTAAGGGTCTGTCAATTTTATTTTTTTTCAAAGAACCAACTTTTTGTTTTGTCAGTTTTTTTCAGTTGTTCCTTTTGTTTCAATTTCATTGATTTCAGGTCTAATTTTAATTATTTCCCTCTTCTGCTTTTGGTGTTTATTTGTTCTTCTTTCTCTCTGGCTTTGAGATGTAATGTAAGGTTATTTATTTGTTGACTTTTTCTTCTTTTAAGGAATGAACTCCATGCAATGAACTTTCCCCTTAGTACTGGTTTCATAGTGTCCCAGAGATTTTGATATGTTGTGTTTGTGTTCTCATTTACCTCTAAGAATATTTTAATCTCCTCCTTAATGTCTTTTGCAACCCATTGTTCATTCAGTAGCATGTTATTTAGTCTCCAGGTGTTGGAGTAATTTTTATTTTTTATTTTGTCATTGATTTCTAATTTCATTCCATTGTGATCTGATAAAAAATACAAAAAAGTAGAGATACTACCCCGCATTTTAAGAGTTGCTTTGTGACATAATGTATGGTCTATTTTAGAGAAAGATCCATGTGCTACTGAGAAGAAAGTGTATTCACTCATTGATGGATAAAATAATCTATATATATATATATATAGTCTGGTGAGTATATGTTATTGATTGTATTATTGAGTTCTTATAGTTTCTTTGTTCAGCTTTTGTTTGGATAATTCATCCAGTGGTGAAGAGGTGTGTTAAAGTCACCCAGAATTATTATATTGTGGTCTGTTTGACTCTGGAACTTGAGAAGAGTTTTTTGATAAACATAGATGTTCCATTGCTTGGGGCATATATATTTATAATTGTCATGTCTTGTTGGTGTATGGTTCCCTTGAGCAGTTTGAAATCTCCTCCTTTATCCCTTTTTGGTTAACATAGCTTAAGTCTCCATTTTTGGTATGAGGATGGAAACCCCTACTTGTTTCAGCACACCATGTGAGTGGTATGATTTTTCCCAATCTTTCACCTTCAGTCTGTGGATGTTTTTTTCTATGAGATGAGTCTCTTGGAGATAGCATAATGTTGGGTCTTTTTAAAAAATCCAATCTGCCAGTTTCTGTCTTTTGATTGGTGAGTTTAGGCCATTAATATTCAGGGTTATTATTGAGACATGATTTGTATTCCCAGCCATTTTTGTTTATTTTTCTTATTTAGTTTGACTTGGTTTCCCCTTTGATTAGTTTTTCATTTATTATAAAACCTCCCTCTGCTGATTTTCATTTCCTCCTTGTGGAATATTTTGCTGAGGATGTTCTGCAGGGCAGGCTTTCTAGTTGTAAATTATTTTATCCTTTGTTTATCATGGAAGATTTTTTTTTTTTTTTAAATTTTAATATTTTATTTGTTAGTTTTCGGTAGACACACCATCTTTGTTTGTATGTGGTGCTGAGGTTAGAACCCGGGCAGCGCGCATGCCAGATGGGCGCGCTACCGCTTGAGCCACATCCCCAGCCCCATGGAAGGTTTTTATTTCATCATCAAATCTAGTTTTGCTGGATATAAGATTCTTGGTTGGCATCCATTTTCTTTCAGAGCTTGATATATGTTGTTCCAAGATCTTCTAATTTTTAGAGTCTAGGTTGAAAAATCTGCATATAATTTAATTGGTTTCCTCCTATATGTAATCTGATTCCTTTCTTTTGTGACTTTTATAATTCTCTCCTTTATGCTAGGCATTTTCATTATAATGTGCCTTGATGTGAATTTATTGTGATTTTGTACATTTGACATCTTGTAGGCTTCTTAAATTTGGTTTTCCAGTTCATTCTTCATGTTTGGAAAGTTTTCTGATATTATTTCATTGAATAGATTGTTCATTCCTTTTGTTTGGAACTCTATGCTTTCCTCTGTCACAATAACTCTTTGGTCTTTTTATGCTATTCCATATTTCTTGAATGTTCTGCTCATAATTTCTTACCATTTTCTTCACAGTGTGGTCTATATTCTTTTCAGTTTTTATATTTTTTCTTCATTATCTGAGGTCCTATCTTCCAAGTGGTCTACTCTGTTGTTGATGCTTTCATTTGAACTTTTAATTTGGTTTATTGTTTCTTTCATTTCAAGAATTTCTGTTTGGTGATTTTTTTTTCAGGACCTTTATCTCCTTATTAAAGTAATCTTTTGCTTTCTGTGCTTGCTTATGTAGCTCTTTGTAGAAATGATCTTTTACTGCCTGTGTTTGTTCTCTTAAATCATCCTTTAATTCACAGAACATTTTAGTTATGTTCATTCTGAACTCCTCAGTCATTTCTTTTGCTGTGCTGGCCATGGACTCTAATAATGTAGCATGTTGGTTTGTTTGGCGCACTTTCTTCCCTTGTTTTTTCATGTTGTTCACGTCTCTTCCCTTCTAGCACTGTGGATTCAAGGTGTTACCATGTTTACCCCATATGCTTATAGTGCTCCTGCAGGGTTCCGATGCCTCTCCTTTAAGGAGGATAAGAACAATGTTTACAGATCCCAAATACAAACACTATATAACCTTAAACCTAGTAGTTGCTATTAAGATATTTACAGCTTGGTCACAGTATACAGAAATGGTGAGTTCAATTATTATCTTTAATATAAACTGTAGGTTTGCAAAAGGGTTTACAATTTCTGATGATGGACAAAGAACTGGGGGTGAGGTGTACTATGAGATTTGGGGAGGGGGTAGGAGGTAAGGATTTAGTTATTAGAGTTTAGGAAGTGTGAAAGAGTACTCTAAAGAAGATGGTTAGTAGCAGGCGAAGAGGAAGTGATTTTAGGTAGACAAGTGGGAAGACAGTAGAGTATATAAAACATCAATATTAAGAAAAATAAAAAATGTAAAATAGAAGAGACTATACAACACAACTGTAATATACTATTAGACATCCTAGTCCTCAGTATCCTAATTCATGCAAAGTACTTGGTTTCACATGTGTTGGGGATATGAGGGCAAGAGAATAGAGAGGGGGAGAGGAAAGAAAAAAAAACCTCGAATGAAGAAACAAGGATTTTTTTTTTGGGGGGGGGGTTAGAGATCAGTATCTTTCCTGCTTCCCTCCTCATCCAATAGGTGGGGTTGTCTCCTGTTTGCTGGTATCTCCACCCTCAGGATGTTGAAGGTTACCAGGTTGGGAGGGGTGGTCTTGGGTGCAGGGCACCTGGAAGTGGGTTATGGCATCCACCTGTCCCCTATGGGACACCTCACCCCAAGGTTCTCCTTTGGGGTCCACTTATGTGATGTGGGCATCTGGTCTTATCTCCTTATATCTCCTGTAGGCCTCACAGTTCCTGCTGTCTAGTTTCTAAATTGTATCTCACTCATCCTCTCCCTTTCTACTCCTAATCCGAGACCTTTCTCTCCTGAGGTCTTGTTGGTGCTAACCATCTGTCTTGGAGAGCTGTTTTGTATTGGCAGTCACTGTGCCTTTAGTGGCTGCCAGGGAAAGGGGGATTATAGGTACCTGCCCAGCTGGAGTTCAAAACTGGGAGTTGCCCCAACTAAAGGTGGCGACAAAGGTGACCCAAGATGGAGGCAGCCTCTTTCAGGGTTGGGAAGTCAAATCGGGTTGGGGGAGCGGGTGATGTCATTGGGTGATGATGTGTTCAGAGATTCAGCTCTGTGGCACGCAGTATTGTGGCTGTCAGTGTTTTAAGAGCCTGTGCTATGTCTCCTGGTGCAGGCAGGCTTCCGTGCATAGGGGACTGTGGCAGTCCTTTCAGAGTTCCAAGGTGGAGGCTACCAGGGGAGCCCCATGTTGGTAGATGAGGGTCCACAAGGGAGTGGCAGCCAGAGTTTTTATGTGTGGGTAGCAGTTGGATGGTCCTGTGTGTGATTGGCATCTGGGATTCCTGTACAGGTAGATAGTGAGGAGTCCTGCCCAGGTGCTGATGCTGGTGGTTCTACTGGGGCACCAGGGAGCCCTGCGTGGGCAAGTAGTCGGGGGCTCTGCTCTGATGCTGAGTGAGGCCTGGAGCCCTGTGCTGCACGGTGGCCATGATTCCTGGGCTGTTACAGCTGTGGGGGTCCTCTATCACTCCCAGTGAAACAGTATTCCCACTACTTTAATCACAGATCACAGAGCGACACAGAATACTGCTTCCCTTTAGCCCTCCATGTTGGATCTCCCATATTTCCTATTTTAAATGAATACTAGTGACTTTTAGGATTCTTTCTTCACAGGCTGCTTTGTATCGCCTCAGTGGAGACTGGAATCCCTTACACATTGACCCTAACTTTGCTAGCCTTGCAGGTGAGTTGATAGTATGTATCAATGAAGAATGTTAGCTACTGCTACTTATGACAGGTAATTTGAGTAACATTTTTTAAAAAAGATCTCTTATTATATTTATGCTAAAGATCCATCTATAACTAAAAATATTTTTTAAAACTAGATATGGAAGTAGTGTTCAGAAAATGATATACTTGAAATTCAGGTTATGGTGGAGTGAACTCCTGCTAGTGTAAGATCTAGAATAGGACTATGGGGAAGGCTAAGTTAACATAAAGGACAAGGATATTTCTTAGAAGAGAGCAATGACAGGGAGGAATCAGTGGTGTACACAGATTTTGAAATAGATCACCATGGGTGATTTCATGTCACAATTAAAACTAATAATTCTTTTTTTTCCCCCAGATCTCACATCCTTTTCTTCTTTATTAATTTCATGATTTTCTATCAGAAACCACTATTTGCAAAAAATATTTTCCATGTTTCTTAAAATAGATAGTATAGTTCAGGCTAATGTAAAAACTATTTAAAAAATCCTGAATTAACTTGGTACTTGTTTTTTTTTTTTTTTTTTTTAACATGAAATTGTCTATATCCACCTAAATTCTGTATATTTTTTTAGGCTTTGAAAAGCCCATATTACACGGATTATGTACCTTTGGATTTTCTGCCAGGCATGTTTTACGGCAGTTTGCGGATAATGATGTGTCAAGGTTCAAGGCAATTAAGGTATATGAACATTATTATGTAATTTGAATATTAGTTCTTTATTTTCTATGATTAAAGAAGTTTAGTGTTTAAAATAAGTACTATATTGCAACAATAGACATTTTAATTATTTCATTGAGTTGGCAGTCTTCACATTTTCCTTTTGTAGCTATAAATAGCTGTTTTACCCATGCACCACAAAGGATATCCTATATGGTTTTTTGTTTTTTTTTTTAATTGCTTTAATTTTTTTAAATACATGACAGCAGAATGCATCACAATTCTTATTTCACATATGAACACCATTTTTCATATCTCTGTATATAAAGTAACATATTAATTGGATTATTTTATAAATTAGGTGTATACATAGATATCAGCATCTGTTTTTAAAAGATTTTCATTTTTCTGTTTTGTAATTTGCGTTAATTTAATAGAAAATGTAAAGTAGCTGTATTTGAACTCTAACATGCTTTCTGTAATGTGATGGCTGCATATTATTTTTAGTTTTTATACTTTTCAAATGTTTATCCATTTTAAATAATAAGAGAAAATATCCGTGCTCTCAGTATTTTTGCATAAAGTCAAAAGATGTACACTTAAAAGTTTTTGAAGGTACTCGATACTGCCTTAAATATTTTATTAGTGTATACCCCATGCAGTAGTGAAAATGCATTTTCTGATGTCTTGCCCTTGATAACATTGTTTTCATGCTCTTTAGTATCACTATGTTTAAGTATATAATTGTGTACAGATTCAATGAAATATAGAAAATTATGAACTAGTAAAAATTACGTTGCTTTATATAACTGTCAGGCCTTATACCCTGACTTAGACCATGTTTAACTCTTTAAGTACCTGTGGTTGTTATGTATGTAACTCACCTAATGATTATGGTTTTGTTTCTTGATTTGTCAAGATACTTTGTAGTATCTTGATTCAAATTGATTCAGTATTTAAAAGAATTTTAGCTTATTAATGCAGTATCTATAGTATTTCTCTACTAATTTGTTGATAGTTTGAGTCTAAACATTTTTAAGCCTCTATTTTCTTTATGCTCTCTAACCACTCTAGTTTCCCCTTCCTAGTATAATAGTTTTATTTTAAAAGGACTTTTAACCCCCACTTTCTTTCCTCCCTCCCTAAAAGACTCGTTTTGCAAAACCAGTATATCCGGGACAAACTCTACAAACTGAAATGTGGAAGGAAGGAAACAGGATTCATTTTCAAACTAAGGTATGAATAATGCTCCTGATAGCTTTTGTTGTTGTTAGTAGTATGGATGTGAGAAAAAAACAGATATTTTTATCAATAGTGTCTTTGAATTTTTTTTTTTTAGCATTGTAGTTATGCATGGAATTTGATTTACTTTATTTCAGTTCTAAAATATTTTGCTGAGATAGAGACAAAACTAATAAAAAACAATAAGATTCTGTTTTTTAATTTTTTTTTCTGGACAGAAATCATATCTTGATTATACAAAAATTCACACATTGCAATGCAGTATGGGCCTAATGAATTCATTTAGTCCCAGATGTGGAACACCTATAAAAACTTAATATTGAGTAACAAATAACATCACTTATGGTAACTTTGAAAGTATATTTGAATATTTACTGTGTTTGCATAATTGGAAAACCTGAGCTTAATCATTTAATACATAACAAAGCAAATAATGGTATATCTCCCTATAGAGTTAATTTTGGAATTAGCAATGTTCCACTAAAAGAGAAAAAGGACATGCAATCACTGTTTTATTTGTGAGATTTTAAAAAAAAAATTTATTCAGGTGTGATGATGCACATCTGTAATTCTAGCTACTTGGGAGACTGAGGCAAAAGATTACAAGTTTGAGGCCAGCCTAGGGAAATACTGAGAACCCTGTCTCAAAAAAAGAAAAAAAAAAAAAAAAAAGCTGAGGATTTAGCTTAGTGGTAGAGCACTTGCCTAACATGTGCAAGGCCCTGGGTTTGATTCCTACTACCACAAAGCAAAAACAAAACCCCCAAACTGTGTGGTCATTTTGTACTACATAGAGCAGGTTTAACAACTCTCTTAACTGTAAATAGGCCGTACTATAAACTTTAAAATGCATTACAACTCTGTATTGAAATACAAGAGAATCTAGGTTCTTAAGAAAATCTTGATGTCATAGTTTGCTCATGGCCTATACATAGTAAGTGGTTGAGCTGAGGTATAAACCCAGGTCAGCCTGACTCTAGGAAGAACAAGCACCCTCTTTTAACTATCTTTTTTTACATTCAAATTGATAACTTTGAAATATTTTGCTTATATGATTGCTTTAGTCCCAATTTCTTCCTGCTGCTTATACTGTTTTCCTGCCTAATCTATGCATATATTCTTTACTTTTCAAATTCTTCCTGTTTTAAGGACTTCAAGTTCTGCCTTACTCTTAGAGGTAGTCTCTTACTCCTCCCCTCTTTCCAACCCATATGTACACACAGTTACTATCTGTGCCACATATTCTAGAGCCCTCTTGTTCTCTAATTGTTTTGTGTAAGTTTAGTTCATAACCTTATCTGAAAAATTAAAGTGTTGAGAACCACGACTGTATCATCAAACAGTGCTAGCAGTGAACAGTACATACATTTCTGTGAATAAAAACTTAACAGACCAAGAAGTCATTCTTGCAGTTTTAAGCATGCCTTCTTATCCTTTCAGTATATTTGGTATTTTCCCCATAGTGATTAGAGATACTCTTTTTATTACTAATATATATAAGACTCCTTCCTTCCTGTTACATTTAAACCAATGTTTTAAAGTGCTGTACTTGACTTGTTTGAGAAAGTACTTTACTAATATGCATTTTGTTCATTTTTTGTCTCTTTTCGTACTTTTCACTATATTTAATTTGAAGTAGAATGAACAAAATTATTTTTTTCTCTAAAGTATGAAGGGAAGTAATTAAGAGAGAATGAGCTTCTTTTTCTTTTTTTAAAAATCTATTTTATTTTTTTAAATACACGGCAGCAAGGAATGCATTACAATTCATATTACACACATAGAGCACAATTTTTCATATCTCTGTATATAAACTATGTTCATGCTAATTTATGCCTTTATACATGTACTTTGGGGTTTTTTTGCATTACAATTCTTTTTTTTATTATTGTTCAAAACATTACATAGTTCTTGATTGTTAAAAATCGAAGTTTTAATAAGTGCTTCCTTAAACTTATTGGTATTGATACAAAAGGATAGGATAATTTCTGTGAAATAGCCATTGGAATAATTTGAAAGGAAGAATTAGAATTCCTTTAATGACTGTTTTGGCAAAAGGCTATTTAGACATTTAGTTTATGCTGTGTGTACTTGTTATCTAAAAGTTCAAACTAGAATTAATACTTTTAAAAAGACCACTATGATCTGTTTCTAGCTATTTTTATTCCATATTAACAGAACAAATGTATTCTGAGTATACTGTATGTGGACATTGTACTCTTTTACTCTTCAGGAATTTGGCACTTTTTATTCTGGCTTTCTGTGTGTTCCGGGGGGGGGGTGGGGGGGGAAATCTCAAAATACCAACTTCCAGGCTGCACTCCAAACCAATTTAAATTGGTAGTTTGGGGGATGGGACCTGTTTATAGTTGTTGTTTTTTTAAAGGTCTCCGCAGCAGCGTTAATAACAATTATATTAAAATCAGAAGGACTTCAGATTTATTCATCTTGTCATTTATTAACTTTTATCACATGAAACAAATTTCTTTTAAATGACATATATATAGCATTTTAAAATGAAATTTTATTTGCATCAAAATCAGTGGAATGAACTTCCTCCTGTCCTGTTTGTTTTTTACCCTTATAAGGTCCAAGAAACTGGAGACATTGTCATTTCAAATGCATATGTGGATCTTGTGCCCAAATTAGATATTTCAACTAAGACACCCTCTGAGGTAGGTTATAAAAACTGGTATATAAATCACTGACTTATTTATGAATTTTGGTTAAGATCAACTTAAGAATGTTCAGTGTGTCTTAGAAAATTAAGAGGTATAAAAAGATAATTATTAAAGGACACCAATTCAAACCTGGAATAAGGAATATTTTGGTAACTTACAAATTCTTAACAATAACCTACAAACAAAAATCTTTTTATCTTTCAAGATAATTAATTTTCTTAGTTAACAAATCAATTGTTTGAGAAAATATTTGAGAAAAATATATTTTTTATTTGTATGCAGGTATGAAAATAGCTTTTTTTAAATTAAAAAATTTGTATTCTCTCAACACGCTGAGATTTGATAAAAATACTTATATTCTGTCTCTAAAATATTAATTTGATAATATTGAGATTTTTATATACTATGATCTTAATTTTTTTGTCATAAACTGAAAATTACAATCTCAGGAATTATCCAAGATCAAAAACTTATGAAGCTGGCTGGGTGTTATGGCACACGCCTGTGATCCCAGTGACTTGGGAGGCTGAGGCAGGAGGATTGAGAGTTCAAATCCAACTTCAGCAGCTTAGCAAGGCCCTAAGCAAGTCAGCAAGACCCTGTCTAATAAAAAAGAGCTGGGGAAATGACTTGGTGGTTAAGCGTTCCTGGGTTCAATACCTGGTGCCTAAAACAAAACTCAGAAGCTTTAGAGCTTCTGAGTTTAGTCATCATGTAATTTAGTCCCATTTTATAAAGATCAGACCACATAAGTTGATTGCCTTTCTGGACAAATATCATCCAGTTCCTAGTTTTCTTTAAAAATATTATGTTTGAATGCTGATAAAATTAGAATCTTGTTAAAAGAACTAAGGTTTTGGGTGACATGAGTGTCAAAGAAGCCTACTATGAAAAAAAAATTTGTTTTACGTGCAGTTATTAAAATCAATTTTATACCACACATATTTGTAATCATTTTTGTGTTATTTTTACAGAACTTTTAAAATAAATTTTCTCCTTTTGTTAGGGTGGAGAGCTTCAAAGTACTCTTGTGTTTGAGGAAATAGGTCGGCGCCTTAAGGAAGTTGGGCGTGAGGTGGTAAAGAAAGTAAAAGCTGTATTTGAGTGGCATATCACTAAAGGTGGAGACATTGCAGCTAAGTGGAGTAAGTCATATCCCCGACTTTATAATTTTCTGAGGTAACTCTTCATAAATAAAATACCCTTGTCATAGAGATAGTCTTTTTGAAGGTAAGTAATTCCTACGTCTTAAGATTTGTAAGATAACAATAAAAACATTCATGTTGAGGATTTCATTATAAATACCTAGAATTAGTACAGTTGGTACTTCCATATATATAGGTTCCACGTCCAAGGATTTTTATCAACCACAGATTGAAAATGCAGTTAGGGTTGTGTTGCTTGCATCTATACTAAACATCTATAGATATTTTTCCTTGTCATTATTCCTTAAACAACTATTTACACTGGATTAGGTGCTGTAAATAATCTAGAGATGATATATGGGAACATGTGCATAGGATATATGGAAATTCAACACCCTTTTATGGGGGGTGAGGGTGTACCAGGGGTGCTTAACCACTAGTCATATCCACAACTCTTTTAAATCTAGAGACAGGGTCTCTCTAAGTTGCTGAGACTGGCTTTGAATTCAGGATCCTCCTGCCTCAGCCTCCTGAGATTACAAGCATGTGCCACCATGCCTGGCTGTACCTTTTTATATAAGGGGCTTGAGCATTCTTGGGTTTTGATATTCAAGGGAGGTCCTAATACTAAGGGACTAGTATACTTATACAGTAGCTGTATGCTTCCTTAATTTTCAACTTCCTTTAGTCAAATGAAGTAATTTTAAGCCATTATATTTGATAATTTTAAAATAGTTTTATTTATCTCAAAACAATTTGAATTATTTCCATTATTGGCATAAGATCATAATTATTTTCTTGGTATGTAAAGATTATAATCCTAAATTACTATTTGTTTAGGGAAATTATCTATTAGAGTGGCACATTAGAAATATAAACAGTTAAATCAACTTGCTGCAGAAAGAAAACAATTATATATATTTTATTAGTATGGAGGTCCAAAAAGACCCTGGTACCATTTTATAAAGTGAAATTAGAGGATAAAATGATCACAGGAAAAATTTTTACCAGGTCTTTTGCATCTGTTGTGTGACTTTACTTTTGTGTTTTAGAGTATTTTAACCTCTAGAGTTGTTAAAAGAAATATGATATGCCAGTGAATGCTCACTGAAACTTTGATTTCTCATGCTTTTCTACCTGAAAGTCCCAAAGGACAGGATTCTTTCACTATTAGGTTCAAGGGACCAGTGCTGCTTGACTATATTAATAGAAGAAAAGCAGCACAGTATCCAGAGTAGTTTTTAACTCGAAGCTTTTTCCTTTCATAATTGTGAGACACAGTGAGATCCCATGTGGTTGAGATGGCTAGGAGCCTCTGGAATGACATGGAACTCCTGGAGGAGATCTGTGATTGGCTTATACTCCAGGACCATCTAAAATTTTAGACCTGACTCAAATCTGATTCTAACTCTTCTCTGGGGCAATGTATAAGTATAGAATACCATGTTGGTACCTCAGTGCAAGCTCTGTAGGCTGTGCTTTTGATACCCTACAATTGGTAGAATGAAACATCTTTTCACTTGTCATTTGTACACCCTGTACCTAATGTACCTGTTTTACACAAAAAATGTTTTGGATTTTTACTTACAGAGCAAACGCTAATATGACAGTTTCTATTATTTTTATTCTAAGATTGTTCTTTAAAGGTACCCATTTAATTGCCTTGAAAATTACATTATTTTATTACTCATTACAACTGAAGAATCACTATTAGTGCTTAGAACAAAAATTAAAACTTTTTTTGCATCTGTTGTGTGACTTATATGTTTTAGAGTATTTTAACCTCTGAAATATTTTGAAGTTCTGTCCAATTGATTTTGGTTAAATATAAATAATTTTCTTTTAAATATAGTGTTTGCTATTCTTTTTAAGCAGCATATGTTCATTATATAGAACTTCATATAAATTGGTATGAAGAAGAAAGTAAGGACATACACTTACAATATCCACATTTCACCTTTTGAAGATTTTTATTCTTCTGAAAGTCATTTGTGCTTACAGGAGGTTAATTCCGAAAGGAGATAAAAGGGGACAAAAATGTAATGTGTATTTATTTCTCAATTATTTTTCAAAGTACCTAATTTTTTGAAATAACTTCATAGATTATAATGATGGCATCTATGTATACACTGTTAATTATTTTTTTCCTTCTTCCAAGTTGGAATTCATCTTTTCACTATGGATGAAAGTATGTTAGAGTTAGAAAACACAGGATTATTGAAAACACTGGTGGTTCACTTTAGACAATAATTTTCTGTAATATGTTGATAATACATAAGATTCTCCACTTTTTTTTTTTTTGGTGATACTTTATTCACAGACAATATTAGAAAATGCTCTTACATTTAAAAATTACCTTTAGGTAATCTAGGAAAAGCCCTTCCCCTATATGATTTCACTGGGAATATTGGAATTTTGTTAATTGCTAATTATTGATGCCATATAGGTTTGTTTTTTTTTTTCCTGCATCTCCTCTTTGGGTTCTTATTTATCAAAGCCAATAATCAAATCGATCTTAAAACTTTGAAAAACATTCACCCATTTATTTGATAGCCAACATCTTTGGGCAATGTGTGTGTTTGGGGAAGTCTTTTCAAACTAAATTAGTCTAAGTCTAGAGAGAATTAGAAGAGTTCTGGTGTTACCTGGGACTGTGTTGGTTTTGATTATGGAGGAGGGGGATTATTAGCTGTTCTTAGGGAGGATTTTTTTCTCTCCGGCCTGTAGTTTATTGCTACATAGCAGGAGGGTTGCCTGGGTGAGGGCAGTGTGGCCTTTGCCTTGCAAAGCTGAGATAATCCAGAGTCCTTCCTCTTCTCTATGGGCCAAAAGGGCAGACCTGAGAGGTGTAGAAAGTCAGAGAGAAGGCCTCAATGAAGTGCTTTTGGAAAGGAAGTCATATCTCACTTGCACCAGGGGCCAAGTTTTTGATCATAAGTATAGATTTAGAATTAATAAAAGCATTATTCATAGGTGGTGCTTCTGTAAGTAACTAGAGGTTACTAGAGGTCACACAAGGAAAAATACAACTCATAATTGTGTTTTACCTTCCACTTGATCTTGTGCTTAACTCAGAAAGGGCTATGATTTAATCTTTTTCTAGCTTTTAGTACTATAACACATATTAGCGTAACTACATGTTTTAATAAGACTAAAAGCCATGAAGAAAACAGTTCAAAGAAAAGGCAGCCATTCTATCTAAAGTACCAAGATTGTATGCCTTACCTTCTATTAAAATAGGTCTATTGTAAGGATAGTGACATTTTCTTTTTAATATGAGTGAAATATATAGTAACATAGGGTGCCATTGAAACATTTTATATATAAGATTTTTTAAAATTTTTTTTAGTTGTAGATGAACAAGGTATCTTCAATTTTTTTTAATGTGGTGCTGAGAATTGAACCCAATGCCTCACATGTGCTAGGCAAGCACCACTGAGCCACAACCCAAGTCCCTAAATTATATATTATGGTATTTATTATTACTAATTTCTAAAATCAACCAAAATTGTCCTAGTGAATTCTGTTCTGTTGTTCTGTGCAACAGTAAAACTTTAGAGGAAATGAAAGATGACAGACTCAGAGCTCACACAGTAAGGTAAAAGAATAAGACTCTACTTACAACTGTGCTCCTGAAAATTAAAACATAGTTACTCTGATCTGAAACTTTAAAAACTCCAAAACTCTGAAAATGGAAAGTTTTTTTCCCCCTCCTTTTTTTCTGCTGGCACAGCATAACTTGAACTTCTATGATGTTATTTCTTCTATTTAACTCACCTAAGGTGAATTAGTCAAGAGTAGAAATAATTTCTTCATAGAAAAGAATTCCAAAGGTATAATATGTAGATATTATATGTATCATATTTTGTGTATCAGTTTTTTCCTAAAATTTGAAAAATTCTGAATTCTAAAACATATCCAGTTGGAGGCACTTCAGATAAGGTATTATGAATCCGTACTTTTATATAAATAATTCTCATGGCACATATGGGAAGAGACAAGGAGAAAGTGTCTTTAGCTTTCAGAGAATGGGAGATTTGGTTCAGTCAACAAGTATTTGTGTATTTCACTGTGTGCCAAATTCTTTATGAGGTTGGGTAGCATAAACATAAAAAGACTGCCCCAGGACTAATTATTAGAAACTGTGTCAGAAAAATTGAAATAGCAGGGTCAAGTAAACAAGGATTATTGGATTGCAGAGAAAAGGAATAAAAGACCTAAATAAAATAATAGGGAGAAGAAGACCTATGTGAAATATTAACTAAGATAGAATTGATTTGTTGGCTACTAGTAATGTCTGAAAAAGAGGAACAAGAATCTAAATTAATGCTGTGTGTTTGAGGTTGTTGACTATTACTAGAATTGCAAAATGAAAAAAGAAGAGAGAATTTGGGGAGAAAAGACAATGAGCTGTGATATCCAAACTAGAGTCAGCTAAGAGTAGAACTAGATTGTGGGCACTTTGTTTCTGGTGTTTAGGTGTAAGTTTACAGCTGGAGGCTGAGAGTTGGAAACCGTGTTCAAGGAATTACTAGTTGGAAATGAGAACATTAGTTGTGCTATCTTGCTTAATGGCATACAGGAAGAAAATGGAGGGAAAATCTGTGTTGGTACTGGAGATTTGTTGTTCCTGTTCACTTTATAGAACAGTGGCTCTAATATTTCCATTTGTCACTAAACAAGATAAACTCGGAATTTGATATACAAATAACAATCCCATGCTTTCTAATAGAAAAATATGTGTTGAGTATATCCAATATCTGTAGAATAGCCATACTACTGAAACTTTTTGCAAAGATTTATTTTCATGTGCTAAAGATAGTGTTGCTGCGCAAAATATGATTTGTTTTCTTTAGAATAATCAGCTTAAACCAGTTGGTATTGAGGAATTTAGTTGTTTTCCTACTTGATTTAAACTTTGCTTCCTTTCATATATTTGTAATCTTTTCCACTATAGTAATATAGTGGAATTTATATTTAGATAGCAGGATTATACAAATACTATTTATTTTTGCTTAAATATTGTTTGGTAAGTACTGAGTTTTTTAAAAAAAAATATATACTGTAATTGTATAGGGGTAAGTCTAATAACTGGAGTAAACCCAGACATTTATTATATATAATTAATTATTCAGTGTTTATTATAGTGACTAGATGAAGATATCCTTTGAATGCTAGATGTCACTTATTTTTACTCTTGAAAATTTGCCATAGTGTGGAAGAATTTGAGAACTGGTGAATATAATCATTCTTGAGGATAGCATTTGAGCATCAGAACACACAGCTTCCTGGTTTGGTGTTCATCTTCTAACGTCAAATCAGATCACCCTTTAGGGTTTCTTGACTTGAATATAAACTAAAATTTAAGAATGTTTGTTCAAATTTTGGATTGATATTCAGAAAAGTATCTCGTGCATTTAAAGAAAAAAGTCTTTGGAAAGAAAATTGGAGAGATATCTAAGGTCTCTATTTCCCTAGCAATGATGACTGTTTCTCCCTTACCAGTGGCACCTCCTGATTATATGCCCATGTGCATTTACTATTCAAAAGTACACATAAAAGCATCTTTTATAAACCACTTAAAACAGTTATGGCTTTCCATCTTCTATGTGACTTGTTTATCTTAATATCTTTTTGTAACTTTTTGTTTAACATTTGTAAAACATTTAAAATAAATTTACCACTAAAAGAAAGTAAGTGCAATCAGTTTCTTCATTTCTATTATAAGATTAACCCTGACCTCACAGGTACCTGTAGATTCAAGGTGATTGTGTTAGATTATTCTTCTGTATGAACCATGTTGTAGACCATGACCAGAGCCACTGTGGAATTAGTTGTTCCATTCCTGGATTTTTGCAGGAACTAGCCCTTTGTTAGTCTTTTATCAGCATTAGTTATTAGCTTTCTTGCTGTATGTAAATACATGTGTCTGTATAACCAATGTGATTCTGCAATCTGTACACTTGGAAAAATGAGAAATTATACCCCATTTGATTCAAATGTATGATATGTCAAGATCATTGTATTGTCATGAGCAACTAATAAAAAAATAAAATAAAAAGAAAGTTTTATCATTAACAAGAGTCTTAGCTACAAAGCAGCAGGTAAAACAGCCTAAGTGAGTGAGACGGCAAGTGGACAGGTAAGAACTGTAATTAACAAAGCCTCACTCCTGCACTGTAGCATTAAGGTATGTGGTGTCCAGCTTTATCCTTGAGAGAGAGATGTATATCTATACCTCTGTTTATCTAGCAGTATATATACTGTAGGCCTTAGCCTTACTTGTGCAGAATTAAAACCATCAAAGTCTTTCTTTTCATTCTCTCCCACTCTATGCCCTCTATTTTAAACTATACAGATATATACATTAGAATATATTTTCACAGAAGTGTCATTAAGAACAGAGCCGTTCATATTATACTTGTAGTACCTCATAGTTCCTGACCCATAAGAAACTTAGTGAAGTGAGTGAAGTATGCAAAGTGAAATGGTGATCCTGCTTTGCCATTTCCCCTTCCCAAGGTAACAGTTATCCCCCCACCCTTTTTTTAAGCGTAGTTAGCAAAATTTCCTCTGTGCAATATTGGTGTTATGCAATTTTCTCTTTGCAGCAGGGCTTGCTAACCAGAATATAGTAATTAAGCATTTATAGCTTTTCCCAGACTCTTAAGTCAGGAATTTTGTATTACTCTCCAGGAAGAGAGATGCAATTGTAGCTCCCCTACTGGAGCAAGAGGCGGTGTGTTCATAGGTTGAAGCTGAATGAGTGGAATTAGTTTTCCTGTATGTATGGTCTGGATCATACAAGGCAGCTTAAACTTTCTAAGGTATAACTTGGTATAATGCTCTATAAATGTTGAGGTAAATTTTTAAATAATTACCTAGTCTATTTCTGGGACAGTTAATCCTTGTGTCAAAAAGGTTTTTTTTTGTTTTGTTTTGTTTTTTAAGGAAGAGAAGCTAATTTAAAAACTCAAAAAAATTATAAATAAGTACTAATTATAACTAGAGTATTTTTCGAATCTATTTTTATTATTTTATTATTCATATGTGAAATCTTTAATGAATTCAAGTACTTGAAAGGTGACTAGATTGTGTCCCACAGTCCCCGCAGTTAGGAACTATTCTGAAATTTAAGTTTTCTCCATTTTTTACCATAGTCTATTTGAACTTAAAGGCCTTAATTATATATACTCCAGCTACTTTATTCCTTAGAATATCTTACTCTACATTAGTTCATAAAACATGCATCTAAGAAAGGATTTTCTAAATGACAGATAATATGTAATCTATTGCTAGAATAAGCACCACATTAGCTTGGAAACTCTAAAAATTGTTTGCATTTGGCTAGCTACTTATACCCTCACTTGTGAAGAAAAATGTGATACACATTGGTTTCTTCCTGTTTTTCCCAGCAATTGACCTGAAAAATGAATCTGGAAAAGTATACAAAGGCCCTGCAAAAGGCTGTGCTGATACGACTATCATAATTTCAGATGATGATTTCATGCAGGTAGTTCTGGGCAAGCTTGACCCTCAGAAGGTAATGTTCTCAAATTTTTCATTTATTCATCATTATTCCTTCTTGTTTGACAATTATAGTTTTTGAGCTGATTTCCAAATTGCTTCAAACAAATCTGAAGGAAACACAGTTGGTACCAGTATTCTGGAAGACAAGTCATTTGTAATTTTAAATAGAGTTTCAGTTGACATTTTTTAAAATTGAAATTTTGGGTGATATTCCTTATCATATAGAAAAAACAAAGATTAAACCATACCTAGACTTTTGAATCTATTATGTCATTAGTTCAGAGGTAAAAACCCATGGATAAAGAAAATGTGGTATTCAATGGAATATTATTCAGCTTTAAAGAAGCGTGAAATTATGGCATTTGCCAGTAATTGGTTGGAGTTGGAGAATATCATGTTAAGCGAAATAAGCCAATCCCACAGAACCAAATTCACAATAAGGCGGGGGGCCCTGGGGAAGAATAGTGTTACCTTAGATTAGGTAGAGGGAAATGATGGGAGGGAAAAGGAGGGGATGTGGAAATAGGAAAGATAGTGGAAAGAAACAGATATTATTACTTTATGTATATATGTGACTACATGACCAATATGATTCTGCAACATAAACACTCAAAAATGAGAAATTATATCCCATGTATGATATATCAAAGTGCATAAATGCATTATACTGTCATGTATAACTAATTAAAACAAATTAAATTCCTAAAAAAATTTAAAAAATGATATTAGCAAATACTACATAAAATTAGATACTCATTCTTGGTAAGGAGGTTGATATTTCTTACTAGAAATGCTTAGGATCAGAAAATTTTGGAATATTTGCATAAATTCACTAGTTGAGCATCTCATCCAAAAATCTGAAATATTGCAAGATCTGAAACTTTTTGAGTGTTGACATATAGCTCAAAGATGTTTAAGATTTCAGCCGGGTGTGGTGATACATGCCTGTAATGCTGTTGGCCTAGAGGCTGAGGCAGGAGAAGCGCAAGTTCAAAGCCAAGCCTCAGAAACTTAGTGAGACCCTGTCTCAAAGGGAAAAAAAAAAAAAAAAAAAAAGGCTGGGGATGTGGCTCAGTGGTTAAGCACCTCTGGGTTCAATCCACTTTACCACCCCCTCTGCGCTCCCCACCACCCCCAAATGTTTTGGATTTCAGATTGTTGGATTAGGTATGATTGATCTGGTAAGGTTAAGAATTTCTTCAAAACTAGAGATAGGATCTTTCAACATAACAGTCAATATATTACTCAAGGTGAAACATTTAGAGACCTTTCAGTGGAAAGTAGAAAGTCATTAAGGCAAGAGTGTCTTCTCTGACCATTAATATTCTGAAACTTTTGGCCAGTGCGTGCACACACAAGCACGTGTGCATACACACACACAGGATTAGCCATGGTGGTTTGAATAGAGGAGAAAATTTTGTTATTTTCAATTCATGATTATGTAACTGGAAACTGCAAGAGAATTAACCGATTCTTAGAATGAAGAGGTTCAAACAAATGATTGAATAAATAATTATTAGGAAATAGTTTTCACATAGCAGCAAAACAGACTGTTTATAATCATAACCTATAGTACAGAATAGCAGTGACTAACCTTATAAGCAAAGCATAATGCTTATTAGAAAAAAAAACAAAAACAACATTGCTTTGTAAGGAACAGAGTAGTTTGACTAGCTGAGAATATATACTTATTTTCCAGAATGTAAGGACTAATTTGAAAAGAATTGGGAAATACAGTTGTTCACAATTTGGTTTTCAGCATCATATAGAGTGAATCTTGGCTCTATCACTTAATCTTAGGGTCTCAAAAATGAGTATGATAATTGTAATGATCCCCAAGTATTGTTTTTGAGAACTAAATCCAATAATATAAATGAAGAGCTTAGCATAGTTTTTGGCATTGAGTGCTCTGTTAATTACTTTCCAGGAATTTATATGGTACCTAATCTGTCTCAGATTCTAGTTAGCAGTGAATAAGGCAATGCTTCTACCATGGGGAGCTTAGTTCTGGAGCACTAATAGGAAATAAATAGAATCTTTTATATAAAGAAAAATAAGGCAGAATAATGGGTGGAGCAGTGGTTGGCAAACTTCCCGTGTGTCTCATAGTAAGTGTTGTACATTTTAGGAGTAAGATGGTTGTTTTATTCAGCTTTTTCGCTGCTGTGACTAACAGACCTGATCAGAATAATTTTAAAGGAGGAGAAGTTTATTTGGGGACTCAACAGTTTCAGAGGTCTAAGGTATAGACAGCTGACTCCATTTTTCTGGGCTCAAGGTAAGGCAGGACATCATGGCAGAAAAGTATGGCAGATGGAAGCAGCTTACATGGTGATCAGGAAGCAGAGAGATGAGTCTCTACTTGCCAGATACAAATATATAACCCAAAGCCACACCCCAATTCCTGCCTACTTAGCCTTACCCTACCATTCAGTTACCACTCAATTAATCCCTGTCAGGAATTCACTGATTGGTTAAGGCTCTCATAACCTAATATTGTCTTCTCAACCTTTTTGCAGTGGTTTGCACATGAACTTTTGGGGACACATCAAAACCATAACCATGGTCTCAGTTGTAGCTCTTCAGCTGTCATTGTAGTATTAATGTGGAAACAATTGGGAGTGTCTATGTTCCGATAAAACTATTTCCAAAAACAAGTAGGAGATTAGGTCTGGCCCTCAGGCCTTAGTTTGACATACCTTGGGTTAGAGTATAACAAGGTAGGGGGACTATTTTAGATAAGTTTGTCCAAAACAGCCTGATTAATAAGACTTAAGAAAAAGCAATGACCCATGAAACTGAGGAAAAAAATAGTTATTTTTAAAATTATTTTATTATTTAAAAGTCTTTGAACTTGTTTTTTTCATCTTTTAAATGGGGACGAGAACTTTTAATGTACCTACCTCAAATTGGTGGTTGTGTATCTTAAGTGAGATTGTATTTATGGATCTGCTTTATAATGCTAAATATGTATAAATATTTCTATTTTTTAAGTTAGCTAAAAATCTAATAACTTCTTTTTCAGTTCACATTTCATATATTCTCAAGCTATAAAGACTGATTATTTTTATTTTATGGTAGGGAATTTATACTGAGGGACAACTTAAGTTACCCAGACAAGTTTCTGTATCATCTCAGATAAAGGCCAAATGGGAACTTTTTCTTAGCATGCCAGCCTTTTGCTTGGTAATGATGAGCTCAATACATTCTTACAACATATAGACATTAACCCAAGCACTTCACACTTTATTTCTCTTAACTTACACAATAGAGTTGTGTTCTTTAGGTACTGTTGTCTTGATTTTTTTTTTTTTTTTTTTAAATAGCTGGGAGACTGGAGCTCAGAAATACTAAGTTCACTTTGCTATTAAGTGCCAGATTCTGGATTTTAATTGGTGCTCTGGTGTTGGAGCCATGATGTGTTCACCACAGAGCTACACTATCTTATTTTGTCATTGTATGGCTATTTCATTAAGATATAGTAAATCTCTTTAATCTGCTTTTAAAGTTCTGAATTGATATAAATATTATCCTTAATAAAATATTCATCTCCACTTGGAGCAGAGCAAAACCAGTTATAAGTGTGGGTTGTGATAGGTCTGGGAGTACTGTTTCTTTAGATAAATTATTCCATCTTTTCTAAAATACATAGGAGTCTTTGTAAGATAAAAGTTGCCTTTGTTGTCCAGAATTTTTAATAATTGTATTCAGTCTGAACAGTCATCTTTTTTAAAAAATGGGCAAATGTAACATGATAACAGTTGACATCTCTTTTCCTCTCTCCTTCCCAGGCATTCTTTAGTGGCCGACTGAAGGCCAGAGGGAATATCATGCTGAGCCAGAGACTCCAGATGATTCTTAAAGACTATGCCAAGCTCTGAGGGGCATACTGCATTAGTAATAAAAATAGAATAATTAGATACTTTCTTCATTCAAGTATTATTTGATTATTCTGCAAAAATGATCAAAACTAAGATATGGAAGATGCTTAACATTTTCAGATTTTCAATTTCTACTAATTTTGCACATATTATTTTTACAAGGAACAATAAGCTAGCTTATAATTATTTCTGTTCTTCGAACTGTATCTTGATAATAAAAAAATTTCACTCAAGTCCATTTTCTTTAGAATTTGGGATAGCATTTATAAGTTGAAAGAAAAAATTAAGTGAATAAAAGCTACTGTGATCTCTTTTACACTTATTTTCTGTTCTCTAATTTATTGATACTCCCATATGTACTTATTTCTCACTCTTTGCTATATAACATTGTTATGCTTTTAGGCAAGGGAAAAGTCTGTGCTCCCAAGTAGTTTTTTTCTCATCTTCCCTTTGCTGGAAATTGTGTACTTTCTCATACTGTTTGTAAATCTAGCCAGGATATAGCTTTCTTACTTAATCAATAGTCTTAAATAATAGTCACAAACAAGTGCTGTCATGACTTTTCCCATTTCCCTCAGATGAGGTGTCTGGGAAATGTTCCTTTGATGGATTGTCTACAGAAATGACCATCAACAAATGGAATACTCAGGTCAGTTATGAAGTAAATCTCTTTTATGCAGCATGAGAAGCACATGTGGATTGCTGTTACAGTTAGGGTTCTCTGGCTAGCAGATTGGGATGGAGATTCATGGGCAGAAAGCTGATTTGGGCATGCCTTTAGGATCCTCAACTGTCAGGGGAAGCAAAGGAAGCAGGGATTGATGCAAAGGAAGTTAGGCTGTGGTATAATTACCACAAGACCTCAACTGATCTTTTGGGGACCTCTGAAGTTGGGGTGGCCCTTCAGCATTGTCCTGTAACTAGGTATTGTTTATGGTCTACTCTACAAAGGGACCTTGACCTTACACAGAGTAATTCCTGGAGTAGGCATATATTCAGTTGATAATCTTTCTCGCAGGTGGATGAATATGTTCTTCAATCTTGATGGGGATTTGGGGAGCTCACACATAGCTCTTTGCTTCAGGGAAAAAGAATATAGACTGAGGGAATTCTTGAGTTAGGGATTAGGGGAGAAGGTCTTAGAAATTTGAAATTGTAGGTAGAACAGTGATGGAGCATAGAATATCCTTATTAGTGATTTATTGAATAGGTTAAGTAGAAGGCATAAGAAGAAAAGCTACATATTTAGCAGTTATCCCTTGGTCTAATTTCTCTATAGCATTATGAAATTGACCTAAGTTCAAAATGATCTACTGTTCTTCCAAGTGAACTTTAAAATGGCAGTGACAGTCTTATTATGTTGTTTTTTTATTGTATTAAACAACTCTTCCTATTGAGCTTGGAAAAGCTTGGTGTCCCAATAGAAATGTAATCAAAATTAATCACTATAAATTAATGAAAGTGTTGGTATATGTACCTTAGATGCTCAAACTGACATTAAGAAAGTTTTAATTATCTTTCCCCTCTTTGTCAATCTTAAAGGTTGGAGAGCTACTTATATTCAGATTTTGCAGCTAATTATTAGTCTTAATGCTGTTTAACTTTTTAAATATTTAATATTGTTAATGTATCATCCTGACTTCTTTTACTAACTTCTTAAATGGACCAGTCTGACTTCTGTGTCTTTTTGACTTCCTTTGTCAACAAAATTCATTAGACTCATTGCCCAAAGTTTTCATTGTGAGCTTATTCACAGACTTCCTCTCTCTGAGTACATACCATAATTCTGAACTCTGAATTCTGAAGTGAAAGGTGTTTAAGCACAAACCATATTATTTGTATGAGCAGTTTGGATAAAGAAAGCCACCCATTAAGGGAATGGTAGGAATCTTCCCCCAAATGTTTGCAGATACCAGCTAAGGTCCAACCCTGCACACTTTCCAAAGGATGCTATACTCAGGACCTGCTATATTAACTCTTTTCTACACTGATAGGCTACAGAGTTTGGGTTTTCTTAAGATAAAATTAGATATGGTATCGGAAGAATGTATACCAAAGTCCCATTAGTGTTTCTGAATTTTTTTTGTTGTTCAATCTTTATCACCTGGTAAACTTGTATATAGCCTTAAGCCTACCACGTGTGTCACCTGTGTGTAGTTTTCAGTCAACACTGATGGAACAGATTCTCACACAACTTTGTATATGTAGTTTAAGGCAAACAGTCGGAGAAAACTGATTTTTTAAATTGGAGAGAGGGATTTGAATTTTTAACTTTGTTCATTAGGTTGTCAAAGTATCAAAACTGATGATCTAGTTTTGCTGAGAAATTCTGAACTAAAGGATAACAGTTATGGAAAGTGATTTTTCTGAAAAGAAGAACATTTTAGGTCAGTCTGGACCAAGATATTTAATAGGGGAGAGGAAAAGTAATTTTAACTCAAACAGGTAAAATAGAAAAGTTGCAAGCTTTAGATAAAAACTAATCTAGAATGATATTACAGGCACATGTAATATAGTGGCTGAAGTTGCCCAGTTATGTGATATCTAGTCATCAGGGTTAACATAGCTTTTAGAAAGTATCTGAGCTGGTAAAATGTTGAGTCATTAAAATTCAAAATTTAACCTGTATAAGAGCTGTTTATAGCCTCATCCAGAACCCGTCTTTTAAGACGGTTATATAACTTCTGGGTGCACAGCTGAAAGAACTGAAAAATAGAGATGTACAAAGAACATGTGTTGTTCAGGGAACCTTGGCTGGGGAATTTTTGAAGGCAGTATGGAAGACATAAAATTAAACCAGAAAACAGTCTGACAATATCACCAGGGTCATTTGAAGTGAGGTTAAATAGTTCTTTGCACCTTAATTTCTTTTGAAGTAACAAGTAATCAGTAAAGAACAAGATGGCTTAAATCAGGAGTTGGCCAACGTATTCTTAAATGGCCAGACAATAAGTATGTTGGGCTCTGTGGCCATATTCATCTCTGTACCTTAAAACAACAACAACAATAAACTATAAAATTGTGAAAACCATTTTTACTTAGCTGGAAAATAAATAGGCCAGGCGCTGGATTTAACCTGCCAGGTAGGACCTTAGCACAGATGTTGAGAACCATTGTTTTAGAAAACAAAATTATAAATTGCCACGTTTATTTAAACAATTATGATGCCTGGCACAGTGTTGCATACCTGTGATCTCAGATACTCCTCTGAAGATTGAGGTAAGGAGGAGGATTGCAAATTTGAATTCAGCCTCAGCAAATTAGACCCCATTTCAAATTTTAAGAAAAGGGCTGGAGAAATAGCTCAGTGGAGCACATCCTTGGGTTTAATCCCCAGTACACTGTCACATTATGAAAGTAAGACTGCATTTCAGGAACATGTTTATTAATAATAAGTGGCAAGGGATTAAAATTACACTGAGATTCCATCCCTAGTCAGAATGACAATTATCAAGAATACTTGTAACAATAGATGTTAATGAGAATGTGGAGAAAAAGGTATACTCATGCATTGCTGGTGGGACTGCAAATTGGTGCAGCCACTCTGGAAAGCAGTATGGAGATTCCTCAAAAACTTGGGGAACCACCATTTGACCCAGCTATTCCACTCCTCAGGACTTAAAAAGCATACTACAGTGACACAGCCACATTAATGTTTATAGCAGCTCAATTCACAATAGCTAAGCTATGGAACCAACCTAGGTGCCCTTCATCAGAAGAATAGGTAAAGAAAATGTGGTACATATATACAATGGGATATTTCTCAGCCATAAAAAAGGAATGACTATGACTTTTGCTGGTAAATGGATGGATCTGGAGACCATCATGCTAAGTTAAATAAGCCAATCCCAGAAAACCAAAGGCCAGATGTTCTGATATGTGAATGCTCCCACACTGAGTGGGAGGGGAGAGAAGTTTGTGGATTAGACAAAGGGGAATGAACGAAAGGGAGAGGGTGTGGGAATAGGAAAGAGTAGAATGAATCAAACATAACTTTCCTATGTGTAGATATGAATACACCACCAGTGGAATGCCACATCATGTACATTCACAAGAATGGGATCCTAACTAGAATATTCTAAGTTATTCTCCATGTAAACATGTCAAAATACACTCTACTATCATACATATCAAAAAAAATTTTAAAAATTAAAAAAAAATGTTAAGGGGACCAAACGAGTCAAAAAAGTGAAAAAATTATTTATACGTATTTTTTAATGGAATTTGTTTTGCTGTTTTTATTAAAATATGCATAAAATTTTTAGCTACCAGAGAATAGCTGTTGTATGTCATTTTTGGTTGTTATTTAATCTGTCTTTTCATGTATTTTCTGCTTTTAAGATTTTTATCTCAGTCTAAAATTACTAGTTTTAACCTAATAAAGTATATTAATGAAAAAAATGATTGTATATAATCTTTTGAGATAACTGTCAAGAAGTGAAATTGCTGTGCACACATTTCATATCATTCCCCAAACACATCTTTGTAAATACTAAGAATTACATTCATTAATAGGCTATTTTCTAAATGGACAAAGTATTTGAACACTTAATAAGATACAAAAACAGTCAGTAAACACATGGAAAAGTACTTTGACATCATTAGGGAAAGTAAGAGAATATTGCATACCAACCAGAATGGTTAAATTTCAAAAGATGACAATGCCTAAAACTTTGTAAGCATGTGGATCAACTTACACCATCAAATATCTATTCATCTACCCATACTTCTTTTCTAAGTGCAGATATCAGTATACTTTATCTTTTAACACTTCAGCATGGATTTCATGAGTTAAAAGTTTAGCCCATTATGTCCCATTGTCCTATATTATAGGACACCAATAAAAATCTGTCCATATAATTTTATAGGACATTTTGTAATTGCTCAATTTAAGTTTTTATAGGTGTCTGATATACAGAGTAATGGGATGCAATGGGTCAATGTTCATTTAGTTCTAAGAAAAAGTTTAGAGAAATCAAACATACAAATCTTCAGTGTAGAATTCAATGAATGTCAACCAAAGCATCCACCTGGATAATGCAAACACCCATCAAGATCCAAGAATAACTACCATAGTTTCCTCACTTTCCAGTCAATGCAAATTTCCTTCCAACAACCACTGTTTTGAATTTCTCCTCATATTAATTTTCCTATTATTCAATACCATGTGTTCTTTTAGTCAGCATAATTTCTTTGAAGTTCATCCATGTTGCATAGTGTAAAAGTAGTTAACTTTTTAAAATTGTGGAGTGGGAACTTTTTGTATTATGTACCCTAACCCATTTATCTATTCCCTAATTGATGGATATTTGGCTATTCCAA